ATAAGTAGTACATGGTATTTCTGTAACACTAGGGGGATTTACTGATTTATTCTCTTCCTTAGTCCTGTTAACCCCTAACCTGGGGAAACAACCTTTCTCGGGGAGGTGGTCCTGGTTTAGACACATAGCGCTTAAGAGGGGGAGCAAACATATGCCATATACGCCAGGTCCCTTGAAACATAAGCTGTGCAGATGTTTCTTCCCTGCAGCAACTGCGTCAAGCAGCAAGGGTGGACCGGCTCCCAGCATAGAATCATCTAAGGAAGTTTTAAAATAACACAAAGGCCTGCCCCAAACCTGTTAGCATTCTGTCATAAAGATAACCTGGGTTAAAAACCAGAAAACTAAGAGCCGTCCTTGATAGACTCCATGGAACTCTACTAGGCTGGGAATATATTTGCCTCATTAAGGTTTGTATGCTTTACAACCCACTTTCCATAAGTTGGTTTCTTTCCTTCCTGTGATTCTCCAACTGGTCAAGTCCTCTACCGCCCACTTATTTGCACACCTGCTGGCATTCGTATGGAGTATTTACTTAATATAGCTCAGCTTTGCTGCCTCTGTCCACACCCTGGGTTGGTCCTGCTTGATCTAAAAAGATAGTGACAGCCCTAGCTGGTTTGGCTCACTGGATAGAACATCGGCCGGCCTGCGGACTGAAGGGTCCCAGGTTCGATTCTGGTCGAGGGCAATGCCGGGGTTGTGCTGGCTTGATCCCCAGTAGGAGGCGTGAAGGAGGCAGCCAACCAATGATTCTTATCATTGGTGTTTCTATCTCCCTCTCCCTTCCTCTCTGAAATCAATAAAAATATTTAAAAATAGAGATACTGACAAGCTATGATAAATATTAAACATGGATTGACTGTAGTTCTTGTTTTTCTTCTATTGACTTAGAAGGCATAAGGGAAAATAGTTTTATGAGCATGTTAGAGTATTAAGGATACTGAGCTTACGCTCTGGCCCACCAGGGTCACACCCACGGAGTCCTGGTCACCACAACAGATACCAGCGTGTCAGCCTTCCTCACCCTCACGGTGACCAGGAGCATCTGGCTTGGACGCGAGGCCACGAAGAGGCCTTCTGCTCCATCCCCAGTGTCAGCATTTTCTTGACACTGTATTTCCTGCAACCTTCACAATGGCCCTCGGAGGGTGACTAATATTCTCACCCCCTCTTGCCCACCTGGCTCAGTGAGAAGGCTGAGACGCTTGGGGCTGCCTCGCTCACCCCAGGTGGCCTGGCCACGGTGCTTACAGCCCAGAGCTGAGGCAGACCCAGCCTTTGCAGGACTGTCCATCGATGTGATCCCGCCCTCTGGAACAAACAGGGCCCTTGGATTCTAGTTACTAACAAAAAAGGCTCCTGGGGAAGAAGCAAGAAACTAATGGAGAAAAAGGCAGGTGCTCCACCCCCAGCACACCCCGCAGGAGCCCAGGCTGCTGGTGGACAGCGAGCACTGTGCAGACCACGGGGAAGAACTTCCCTCTGGAGGTGGGCAGAGCAGGTTCAGGGGCCTGATGCCCCATATGGTGTGGGCTGGCAGGGGACGCTCACTTTAAGAAAAAGAATATAAAATTATAAATACCACATTAGGTAGGAAAGGACCAAAGGTGCCTTGCAAGTGAGGGCTTCAGTTTACATGTCACTTGCTACAGAGTAAATTCACCCCAACCTAGACTCCTTCTTTTTAAAGCTGTTCGGGGTGTGTGTGTGTTTCACTGATCATCCGCAGATGAACATCCTGCCCAATCCTAGATGACTTTCCATCATTTCTGTGGAATGTGTTCTTTGAATTTTAAAAGACTCTGTAAATGGGAAATTTATTCATAAACGAGGGTATTTCACATGTACAAACACAAAGACCAGCCTTTTGTTCATTAATTTTTATTAGATAGTATGTTCACACGGTCAATTGTTCAAAAGGTACAAAGGGGCATATAGTGATAAGTCTGAGCTACTTTTACAAACTTTTTTTAAAATGCATGTTTATAAAATGCACTTTTCTAATATTAAAGCAATACTTGCCTAATGCAGAATTTTTAAAAAACAAAAACACAGAAGGAAACAATTTAACCCTGTCAGCCAAAGCTGAACTTAAGATCCTTTCAAACACCTTCCAAATCTGAGCAGATTAAGGTGAAGACGCCGACGCTCTATCCACTGAGCCAAACCGGTTTTCAGCTATAAACTTTTTTAAAAATGCATGTTTATAAAATGCATTTTTCTAATATTAAAGCAATACTTGCCTAATGCAGAATTTTTAAAAAACAAAAACACAGAAGGAAACAATTTAACCCTGTCAGCCAAAGCTGAACTTAAGATCCTTTCAAACACCTTCCAAATCTGAGCAGATTAAGGTGAAGACTTGTCCTTTTGTCTGCCTGCCTTTCATCTTCCTAACACCTAACGCCACTCTCATCTTTCAAGCTGTGGGTGAAACATGGGCTTCCATAAAGAAAGGCGGAAAGAATTGAAGCATTTGGGGGGAAATTACAAGTCTTTGACGTTTATGAAGGCCTCAAGGTGATCTGAAAATCTAAGACAAAGATGGTAAGGGGCTTTCGGCTGAGGTAACAGTCCCATTCTGCAGGGATGACTGCGCAGGGGGACTGCTAGATGAATCCAGGCTCCGTGGAGAGAAAGGCTGTGGTCCATTAGCCATGTCTCTCATGGTCATGGGGGAAGGAGGGACAGTCTCAGTCACACACACACACACACACACACACACACACACGTCACAGTGATCTAGGAGTGGGCTGATGGTGAATGGAGATTCGTCTAAAACAGTTGTTCTCAACCTTCCTAATGCCGAGACCGTTTAATACAGTTCCTCATGTTGTGGTGACCCCCAACCATAAAATTATTTCACAGAGGACAAGTGAAGGTGAAGACTGAGGTAGAGATTGGAGTGATGTGGCCACAAGACAAAGAAGCTGGCAACAATTGGAAGCTGGAAGAGAGAGACATGGAATGGCTCTTTCCCTAGAGTAGTGATGGCGAATGTTTT